GATGATCTTTCGAGGTCCCTTCCAATCCTTTATATTCTGTGATATAGAGGGACCGTTTACCAACTGCAAATCCCACCAAAGCTGTTGCTCAAAAATTCTGTTACTTCAGCCAAAGTTTCCTCTACAGATTCTGTCTTCTGAGATACACTTACCTTCAGATATGCAATGTGGTATTCTAGAAGAACTTGGACATTTCCAATGCTTTCTTTAGTACCAACAAATACAAACGGTACCATTCCCTAGAGAAACAGAACATCAAGTCTTATTTTCAGAGAATGTTATAATCAAAACAATGTTTAAATTATTAAAAAAAAATCTGTCTAAATTACAAAAGTGAGCTAAACAAGCACAGACAGTAACTGGATCTTGGGCTGTGCAGACGCACTAGACAGCTGAGACTGGGGTGAGGGCAGGTGCTTCTAGGTTAAGGACTTCAGACTCCAGCTTTCCCAACAACAACCTATTCTGGCAGTCGAGGTAACGACATACAGCGTTTTTATCACCCCCCACACAACACAAGAGCTATGTGAGTTTATCACAGTAGGAGCACGGAAGCATCCACAGTTCACCAAGAAGTGTCCAGTGGTTAATTAAACCAACTGTACAAGATGAAGCACCTTTAAAAGATTTTATCTTATGTTCTCATATATTTAAAGTAAGTGAACACTATTCACACTACCAATCCCAAACTCGCTATGCAGCAGAAATACATACAGGAGAAAGATTTTATTTTTTTTTTTTAAAAAAAGGTCTTGCTTCAGCAGCAAAAAACCTTTCTTGAACTGTTCTGTATAAAATTTACTGCAAGGTGCCAGGCTGAAAAAACAAAAACCCTGCTCTCTCTGTACCCACAGAACAGTTATAAAACTGGCTTCATTAAATAATTCACAGGCACCTGTCCTAGAGAACTACCCAAATCACAGACATTCTGGTTTTGTAACATGGACATCACCACGTTACAACCATTACAGGTTGGCCATGAAAAAACCCAGGGTGCAGAGGCCATGAAGGCTGGATTTATAAACTGCACAATGATGCTGAGATGAAACAGTGATCCTGTCCTGATGCCAAAAGGCAGCACTTGAACTCATTTGAGTCAGGCCCCAGAAATTCTCACTTTCTGCATATATTTTCCAACATATTCTTTGTTAAAAGATTCAACATGACTGGTTTTGAAAATAAAAACCTAATCATAGAAAGAAAGAACAAAGTACTTACATCTTCACGGGGCAGTTTATTTTCATTATCTCCTTCAATTCTCACCCTGACGACTCCAGACTTGTCTACAATCTCCTGAATCACTTTTCCATTTTTTCCAATAACTTTTCCTTCAGAGGGCAAGAATGGTTAATTTTGTACCCATGTGCAAAATATTTTAATGGGTCTCTTGATATTTTAAGTTATGTAGAACATAATTGTAACAACCACCTGACTCTCCTTCAGCATTCACTTTGTTTCAAAGTTTTCTCCTACTTCAGAGGTACAAAAAAAACCCCAGAGAAAGCCCCACACTGTGCCAGAAGAGGTGAAAACTTCCAAAATTAAACTCTCTATATGCATACAATGAAGAGTATCGATAAAGATGACCAACACACACCAGTTTCAAACTGAACCAGACTAAGTAATTGCACAAAAGTTTTGCAAATACCTATTTTAAATTTATATTGCAAAATTATTTGGACCCTTTGACTCCACATGTACCCTCATTCAGTCCTTCCTCACATTTTGACAGGCATATACAATGTATGTTTGTTGGGAGCCTCTTGAAAAAAAAAAAAAAAAAAGGCAAAAAAATACATTTTTTTTCCTGAAAATTAATTTTTGCCTTTACAAAATAATGGTTAGCCAGTATTTGGGAAAAAGTCCTCCATCCCAAGGAGGTTCTGTAAGCAGCACTCTCCTCTCTTGGTAGAGAAAGAAATGCACTGGGCATAGGGCAGTACCTTCAATTTGAGTCATAATGATGACTACACGACTTTTAACTCGGGTGTCTTCATAAAGCGTAGCTCAATGTCTGCTTACTTATGTGACCACGTCTGATTTGGACAAGATGTCTGACTATGTCATAAACTGGTGTCATCATTGTTTAAAAGCAGCATTTTCAGCCAAATGCATTACTAGGACTAGTGCCATGATTCCTATATGTGTATGTTCACATCAGTGAAAGGTGTCCAAAATGTGCAAGGAAATCAACTTGTAAAACACAACATTTAGCGAAGCTCTCTGGTTCAACTAGGTTTGCTGAATGAGTTTACAGAAAAAAGTGTGTTCATATACAAATGAACAATTAATTTGCTGAATTTTAAAACAAACTTTAACATTTGGTAGATGAGAGAATCGTCAAATTGCATCAGATACATAATTTGCAGAGGTCCTATTTAAAAAAAATAAGCAAAACCCAAATCACTACACTTTAACTTGCTCAAGTTATAGAACACCAAAAGTCTAATTTTTGGGAGTCTGTACATGAATTATTTAAATTACGTAGTCTCATAAACTCTAGTCTGAAAATTGTAGGAGGTTAAAGCAGAGGTTTTGATAATCCAAACTGCTGTGGAATCAGGTACAACACCTGCACTCTTCATGCTCCCTTCACACCTGCACTGCCTGTGAGCTGGTAACGTGGAGTCAGAAGCTGCCAGACTCGCTATCACCAGCTGGCTAAGAGGAGTGGAATGAGGGTCCAGTTCTGGGCCCCACAGTTCAGGAAGGACAGGGAACTGCTTGAGAGAGTCCAGCACAGAGCCACCAAGATGATGAAGGGAGTGGAGCATCTCCCTTATGAGGAAAGGCTGAGGGAGCTGGGTCTCTTTAGCTTGGAAAAGAGGAGACTGAGGGGTGACCTTATTAATGTTTATAAGTAAGTTAAGGGCGAATGTCAGGAGGATGGAGCCAGGCTCTTCTCAGTGATGCCCAATGGTAGGACAAGGAGCAATGGGTGTGAGCTGGAACACAGGAGGTTCCACTTAAATTTCAGAAGGAACTTCTTTACAGTGAGGGTGACAGAGCCCTGGGACAGGCTGCCCAGGGAGGTTGTGGAGTCTCCTTCTCTGGAGACATTCAAGACCCGCCTGGACACCTTCCTGTGTGATCTCATTTAGGTTCCTGCTCCGGCAGGGGGGTTGGGCTGGATGGTCTTCTGAGGTCCCTTCCAGTCCCTAATATTCTGTCATTCTGTGATTCTGTGATTATGAAGTGTCTTTGACTACTGTAGTACTAAGGAAAGATGTGTTTTCCTCTTCAGGGGGAACAGAGATTAACCCAGCTTTCGGTCGTTTATGATACAGAAGCTCCCATAAAATGCACTGACAAATTTTGGGAAGCTACATCTTCGTTATGGGTGAGACCAACAAGCGCTGCTTATTCGTACAGCGGCTCACCTCCACCCAGCCACCACCCGGAAGATCTCAGCCAGGAGGGAGCAGGAACATGAGAATTGTCTGGTGTCACTCTTGCAACTCAGCTGTAGTACTTCCCCATTAAATTCTGGAATTTAGGTTCAGCACTTCTAAGTAGTCAATTTAGCAAATAATTTTTTTGCTAGACTCTGAACTTCAAATATTAACAGTGAATTGGATAGTACAAGTCTGTAATCAAACAATTCTAAGTGTTTAAATCCTGACAAAGTATTATTCAGCAACAAGATACGGAATTTCTTAATAATTCCCTAATATATATAGCTTTAAAAGATTAATCACTTTCTACTTAAATGCAGAAATCAAATATCCTCCTGGTATCTAAATAATCTTTGCAGCATCACGCTGATTAGGCTCCCTCTCCCCAAGTTTTCATGTTTTAGCAGCACTACGTACCAACAAGATTTCTGGGAACTTGAATAAAATCCTCCACAAACTCCAAGTAACTTCTTGCCTTTTTTACTGCATCAGCAGTCTAGAAATTAATTAAAAAAGAAAAAAAAAAGAATTTATATGTGAATATGTATTAAAAATAAAACCTTGTAGCACCAAGATGCAAGTCTTCCAAACTTATTCCTCAAAAAGAGGAATAGAGACAAAATTAATCTAGTTTTGAACTAAATGTTAAACAAGTAATAGAGTATAACACCCATAAACAGAATTCAGTAGCAAAGCAAAGCATCAGTAATGAATAAAACAACTTTTTGCATGCTATTTTAAGACATTTTAAAATATTATCTGCAACTTACCATGAGTAAACCCCAGACATAAAATATCTTACAGAGGTATCTTGAAGCAGTTTCTGGTAGACATTAATTGGGAAAAACCAGCTAATTATATTTTTTTCTCCAAAATCAAGACATAATTTTCAAATGTAGAATCCATTTATTAAAAAAACCCATTATAACAATAGACACAAAGATTCTGTAGTGAAAAGATATAAATTGTAAGAGGTCCTACCAGCATTCACAGAAACTTCAGGTCACAAGAATACTACGTTAAAAGAGCCTGGATGGTGTATCTCATTTCACCTGACGCTGCAGTGAATGAATAGCTCCGTGGTTATGATTAGATGGGCAAGCCATGAAACTAAATTTAACCTCTGTGCTTTTTTCTAAACGGCTTTGGAAGCATCCAGTTTTTCTCCACATAAATCTTGTCAGCAATATTGATTTTGCATTTTTTAATGTCATTTTTAACACGTAGTACACGGTTACATTTCCCAGAGGAACACATGTGGAAAAATGGGGAATGAGAAAATGAATTTTAGACTTGTTTGTCTCTTGACAGTATCTAAAGATTATGTCACCTAATAAAAGATAAGACATTTACAAGGTTGGAGGGCCATCTCCCCACAGAACTTTACAGGCTCGCTGTAAGCGGTGATGGTATTTACAGCCTTTTCCATAAGAAAGCTGCACTGATTTTTAAAAACAGCCTAAATAAAGCAGTTGCTAGAAGTTCTCTCTCTCCTCTATGAAGTCTGTCTTAATCAGCATTGAAGAGAAAGAAAAAATCAGCCACAGAACCCTCCTTGCAACAGATGGATCCATTTTCCATGCAAGTCTCAATACCAAGCACTCTGCAAATACACGCTGACCCTCAGTGAACAGAGGCTGCTGAAACGACAGAAGCAGCTGCTCCTCTAGGTGTGTGTGCACTCACAAGGCCTGCCCACCACACAACCACTTGGATTTCCAGGGAAGGAGCTCGCTGCAGAAAGGCTGGCAGGTTACGTCCAGAGCACAGTGCCTCACAGGAGAATCTGGTAGCGGTCAGGCAAACTGGGGATTCAAAGAGCAACAGCACTGCAGGAAGGTAGGGGAGCGTACAGACACGGCACACCACGCCTGGGTAGAACTGACCACAGGTAGGAAGTTTTCTGTTTTCTCTACACAATTTCTACTTCTGTTTCTCTCCTGTCTTATGCTTGACAGGAAACTAAGCCTGAATAACACGCACCTCCGGACAAACTCTCTCCTGTAACCACAGGCAAATTACACTAGCGCAACCTGAACTCCACAGTAAGTGCTGAAACAGTGTGTAGCACTAAGGAACTTGTCCTAATCACGTATCACCTCAACGTTGTAAGTAATATTACAACCAAGGCACTGCCACCCCGAATGTTTGTTTCTGGCCACAGTTCATCTACAACGTTTTTCAAGACAGGACAGCATCACTGGTTACAGGGAGAACTATCAATGCTCTCTTATAGGCTCACTATTAAATGCCAGAAATTAACTGACAGTTAATTGAGGTTATACAAATGCTGAAACAAGAAACGAAGCTTCAAATTAACAACAGCAAAAGTGTAGAATTAAGGAATGAATATCAGCATCTAGTCAGTAATGACAGTTTTTGAGCACAGTTTCCATTTCACACTAACACCTCACCCCTTTAATCTGTCATTTTTTAGGCAACACATGAAGCAGAGTACCACCAGCTCCTGCATCTTTCAATCAAATTAGTGAAGTCCTGGAAGAACAATGAATTTATAAACCTCTACTTCTGGTAGCAGTCAAAATGACAGCACGAGAAACACGGGCAAATTGGATTTCAAGATAATGAAACAAGCAAGGAAGCATGGCAAGCAGATGAAGAGGAAGCCGTTGTAGGGAACAGAGGCTATGCTGCACGCTCAGAGCAAGCTGCTAAAGTGACACAAACTTCAACACACATTAGCAGTTTTTCACCTTCAATGAACCCTACATATAGGACACAATTAACAAATAGCAATTAACTAAACAATTAACTAAAGAGTTCACAATGTCCTGCCTCAGAGGTATGTTTATCAATTCTTTCCCAAATAAAGATGAAGGAACAGCAACTGCAGTCACAGAAGCAGAGTCAGGATGAGAAAATAAACAACAGCCAGCGGCTGCAGTTCTCCAGTGCACCTATATGCATATCTGCACTTTGCCACAAGTGCTCAGAATTTTTGTGTGAGTACAACCTGTGTGACTCACTCACACCCCAACGTGAGATAGCACACAAAGCTGATTTGGACAATGTATTCTCAGTTCCTCACAGCCAGTAATTCAGAAAAGGAAGAGTGATTCTCTCTCTCTCTCTCTCTCAAAATCAGCGTGCACATGGATTAAAGACCTCAGAGAACTCCAGTTATTAGTCACCCATTCATGCTCTGGTTACTTCACACAGTAGTCCACACAACCAAGACGTATCCAGGTTACTTGATGAGTCTTTAACAGAAAGATTAAATACAAGATATTTTTCTAAACTCAGCATTATACCTTTTGCAGCAGGAGAGTTCTAAACTAGAGTGTCAAACAAGAACTGTTCAGTTGTAGATTCTGGGGAAAATGTTTTGTAACACAGTCACTAACGCAGATCTAGTGGCTACTCGCTGGTGGAGTGCACTCCTGTTAACAAATGGTGGATCTGTCACAGGAGCCTCACACCAGTTTCTGAGACAAGGTTTTGAAAGTCCCTCCAAAGTCCTGGTGGCTCTTTTAGACCTTCCCTAAAGGAAAAAACAGAGCTACCTCTGGGAATCACTTGATAAGCCTTATCCCATGCAGATAAAGACAAAGCCCTCCCATGTCATGGCAGAGAACCATGGTTTTTTCATTGTGATACGAGTCTTTTGTCAAGAAATAAAATAAAATGCATACTAGTCTCCTAGTTTAAATGGAACTGAGCTCACGAAAGCTTCATAGGGAAAATGAGTTTTCTTGTTTTCTCCAAAGGGAAAACAAGAGTCTCCTGAAAAAGCCAGGATAGATAGGACCAGGGAAGAAGCTCAAGTATTAAGAATTGGACAAGAGTTGAATGCAATTCAACTTCACCAGTAATGAAAGTCTAAGAGAAGCTATTCTGTTTCTGATAAGGCTTGCTCTCTCTGGGGACACGAGATTTCAAAAGCAGGGGACTCACTGTCCAAGCTCTGAAGTTCACAGTACTGTGGTCTCTGTAACAGGTTCCACAAGCAGCAGTTCAGGCAGAAGGGGAAGGGTCTTGGAACCAAAGTGGTTTTGATCAGACAGGGAAAAAGCATGAACAGCATCCCAGAGTTTAGCTTCCTGCTAATCATATGGCTTTCTAATATTCTTTAAAATTTATCTCCCTCTTCCCTCCCTCAAAGATTCTGGCCCTGAACAACACTGAACTTCTATTTGTATGCAAACTGTTAGCTCTTTGGATTTTATTTGTTAGCTATGGGAGACCCTGACTACAATGTCAAGGACACTGGATCACTATTCCCACAAACCTCACAGTCTAAAATTGTCTGCCGGTGCATGCAGTTATTGAGGTCTGGCTGCTTGCCAAATTCTGCTGAAAAAAGGCAAAAAGAGTGGACAAGTATATGCAGATGCTGAAACTCTGATGTGGACTATTTAGGTTGCCTGGCTTCTTCAGAAGCAGATATCACTTCTAGGAAGGACAAGACTGGATGAGTCTAAAGGCATTTTTATTTAGGGGGCATTTGGTATTTATAATCGTTGCTGTGCACTACTGTAAGAGGCTGGTGACAGTCATAACCTTTCCACAAGATTCGGCATCACGTCATTCACATTGAAGAGATCAAAACTGGAATACACTACACATTCTACTGCAGTTACACTTGTCCAGTACTTCTTCAGGAACCATTGAGATGTGATTTACTGGCAGTACTAGGTCAAAAAAGGATCTGTTGCCACTCTGATGCCCTGGAAGTGTTTAAGACTTCCAAAAAAAAAAAAAACAAAAACAAAAACAAAAACCCAACCAAAAACCCCCAAACCAACTCAACCCCCATAAAAACAACCTCACAGAACTTCAGACATACTGAAGAGTACAGAAGTTTGTCCTCCTCTCAGCAATATCAAATTCATTTGACCCTTGGATTACAATCAGGTTCTACTCCTGACATGCATGGAGTGTAATTCAAGACCACAGCTGCCTGAAGCAGTAGACAACCGAGGATTTCTGAAAGCATTAACACCAGAGACAGTGTTAGTGGCACCTGTAGAGTTGGTAACATGGGATAAACACCCTCAAGAAACGTTCTGACAGGACCCTGGTGACACTGGCACCTTTGTCACTGATCTTCTGCCTCCTGAATGGATCATTGTTTTGGTCCAAAGACCAGCTCTCAAGGCACTTGGGAGATTTAAAACACATCAGTCAGAGTCACACAAATTAACTTGGAGCAGACCAGCATTATTTTGGCAAAACCAGCATTAAATTACCAAAATAAAAGGGTTAGAAGCAGCAGATACACACTTTAACACATTTAGGTAGGTCAGAGGAGCATACACCACACAGCAAAACACATATGAACTAGAAAGAGAGGAGGAGGAGAACCAACAAGAACAGCATATACAGTCTGGAGGAAAAAACCAACAAAACAAAACTGTGATCAAGTAAAATATCAGCAAATGACACTTCTCTCAGGTTGACTGATCTGTACAGTGCAGTTATAGAATTTGTGCATCAGCACGTGGATTGATTAGGACAGAACACATCTTATGGAGGTCACCACCACAGTGAAGTCTCGTAATTAAAACACACACAGTACAAGCTGCCATAGCGTGAACATGCACACAGACACGTAGACAGCTACTCAGCTATTTCCAGTTCTTAGTTCTGGGTACAGTTCTCACCACTCTAAAAGCAGATATAGAGTGAAATGCTCATCAGATTCATACAAAGTCTCCCCCTTACCTCTCCATAGATTCTGAAAGTACCAGTATCCTCCTCAAGTTCAATGGCAGTAACTCCTGGAACCTTTCTGGCTTGTTGTATGTTACTGCCGTGTGTTCCTATAGCAAGTCCCATTAAATCTTCTCTGACTACAAATTCCTCATGAAACGCTGCAGCAAGCTGCTTTGTGCACTGAAGAGAAAAAGTAAGACTCACCCACATGCACTCAATGTAATGTACAGTTACATGCTCAGTTTCAGGTAACAAGAATTACAAGTCATGGCTTACTTCTAAGTGCTTTGTAGCTTCTTCATTTCTTGACATGAGCATAAGTTTGGTACGAATGCTGCGCAAATGCATGTCACTCAGTATATTCACTCTCTTCACTGTTGCTTCACTGGCAGACTACGAAAGAGAAGGAACGTGAGGTTTCATTTTTTAAGCAAATCCACATTTAAAGGATAAATCAGGAGCCTATTTAAACTAAATCATAAACATGATCTAAATTTCCAGTACTTACTGTGGACACTATTCTTCCTCAAAACAAAACATGAGAAGTTCAACACCACCTCTGCAAACCAACAATTTTCTGTTCTCACTCACAGCATATTTTACACTAAACATTTTGCTGCTGGATATACCCAGTGTA